TCTATGAAAATGAGCAAAAACCACTCGACGCTAGGACTGAGGCAAAAAGGTCTAGGTTTACCGGTGGAAATAGCGCAGTAATTCTTGCATCAGAATTGAGCACGGGCAACTGTAGGAATTTCAACCTAGCGTTCGATCGAAGCTGTGTTAGTTCTGGGGCGCTGGCTTGGGCAGCATACATCTCTTCAAGACCGAGGGACGAGCGTGAAAACGGATGGGTGTGATCACTGCATCGCGCGTCGGCAACAAAGTTATTAGGATCATCAATATAGCGATTGTAAATAAAAATATCTGGGAAAGATAACCCAGGTGACTAATCTCTCTAGGGAAGTATCAATCGGAAAGTGCACGAAAAGCTTATATACAATAGGCTTATGATCTGGCAAGCTGACAAGAATTCGACCCTCAACGGTGTGAAAAACACTTTACAGTCGGGGGCATAGCAAAAAGCTCGCGCAGGTTGAATGTTCTGTGAGAAGAAAGACAACAATTGACTTTCACTACCCACTAATTGCTGCAATACGGACAAGATCAAAGTGAACCTCTCACGTTCTAATCTTGATTGCAGGTCATGGGGATCAAAAGCAGTTGATCGGCGTGCATGGCGCCATCTGATCACAAAGGCCGTTGCGAAAGTGCAAGATAACTCTCCTGCATGTAAAGAAAAAACGGTAATTGCGGAAACGACGGGCGCCGATGGGTTTTACTCCATCGACATCGAGCGCATGGTGCTGCAGCACATACAGTCGTGAGTACCTGAGTCAAGCAGGCCTAGTGAGCCATGAGCGAGGCCACTGAGGGCCACCACCGAAACGACGACGGGTCCTGCTGAGGACGTAAGCAGAATCGGCGCAGCTTTGGTAGGTACGATGCGTTCGATATACTAACCGCGTGCTTGCATGCTGAGTCTCAATTTCAGGTGGTAGGTTTGCTATATAGTCCTAATGCTTTTTTGTCTCATATTAATGTCTACCAGTACCCTCTTCTATAAACCTGCACAACTCGCTTATACTAATTTAGTTAACTTCGGTAAAATTTTCGCGTTTGTGGCCATTTCTTAAAATATATTTTCTGGCCCCTTGAACTTATCGCGGATTTGTTCGCAACCAATTTATATTATTTGCCCATTTAGTAAATAGTTATGTCACATCATCGGTATGCATTATCCGATTTATTCTATTTGATGTTGTCGTTTCAAGTTATTAGCTGTTGTTTGCTATCCCCGGTGTGGCTGCGCTTGATGTGCATGTTGACAAGGTGCCTACCTGTCTAGTACCCACTACCTCGTCCATACTGGCTCCAGAAGACAGTTGGTCGTTACTGGATGGGACGGGGTGCATGGACCTTGCGGCCGTGCTAGGCTGGAAGTATGGTTCCATGCACTCAGTGTGGAACGGACTACGTTCCAGCCACCGCCTTTTGTGCGTTTGATTCCCAAATACAGCGTGCTTGTGTTTGCCTGTGAAGGAGTGTGGGCCGGCTCCATTGTTGTAACGTGTCTCCCATCCACATGCCTTCCGGTCTTATTCCTTCGGGTTTACACTGGATATGGGGTGTGTGTGGTTGGAGCTGTGAGTGGTGCAGCGCAAGCCACCCATGGACCCTCTGTAGGCGCAGGCGTACTGTGGCTGGCCACAGTGACAGGCAAATCCGAAACCGGATGTCGCCAGCCATATATATATATATATATATATATATATATATATATATATGGATATAGATATTTAAAAGATCCGAAAACCTGGTGGATTTGCTCACTATTACAAAATAATGTCTCGTTTATTTGAACTTTAGATTATGCAGAGGAGGAACTTGTGGATTTATGGCAATGTGTAACACCTGGCGGCGAACCTAGCCGGTCAATGATAATCTTATTGTTATATAGACGATTAAACGGATGGTACAAATTCTCCTATCAATCTCCGTACATGGTGCACACTAGTTTGGATAACGTTCTACACCGTATTGCCATGGAAATTAACTCGCGTTTATCTCCCAGGCGAATGCTTACGATAAGAATTTTGTCAGTGGTGCAGCTTATGTTGCTTAAGTAACTTGTCGTTGTTCCGGTGAGATTTAAAGTTTTAATGGACTGCAGGCGCTGGTCACACATTCGCTTAGAGTATATCGGATGTATTCATCCACGTTAAAAATGTTGGCGACGCTTCTCACAGTTCGGTCCTGTCAAGTTGATTAGGGACTTCGGTTGATTCTTAACTAGTTCTGGTGATAGTAGGATGCACCACTTTTATGGCATTCCAACTCTTATGATGTTGTTCATTGAAGGAATGGGCTGTGCTAGGAGTTCAGCTTTTCAGAATGTCGCTACACGGGTTTCCCACATCTCCATCAGTGAATAAATACATATTCATTCTCTACACATCAAAGGCTCCCACAGAGCTTGTGTCATATGTCATGTTTAACCCGTAGGGGCCATCATCAGCATTCAGTGATGTTAAGGGGACTCGTCTATCTTTGAGTTCGAAGCAAAGGTGGCACCTCCTGGAGGGTACCCCGAATTTTATTTCCTTGGATTTAGGTTGATCACGGGCTCATGTGTGACCGGGTTCCCTAGTCGTGCAGCGCCAGTACGTGCAGATCTGCAATTGTCAGTCAGCATTTGCTACGGTGTTGATCTCAACTACCCAATAATAATTCCCTGCATTTCCGTCTTAATCCAAAATTTGTCTCAACATCCGACACGATACGGCTGTTTAAATCCACTAAAGCTTTTCGTTTCAGAGTTCTTGAGGGTTGGTTGTCAACGTAGCTTAATCAAAGTTCTATACACGGCCTCAGGAGAGTCGCAGTTCAATCCAAACAAGTGCATATTACGGACCGAAAAACTGATCCTAACCTGACCCGATTCCAGCTACTATAAAAGTTTGTAGAAAGTAGAAGTCACGATTAAAATTCACGCACAATAATGTGCCTCGACAGGGAATCGAACCCCGGCCCACGAATTTCCGGTCCGCTGCTCTACCAATGAGCTACCGAGGGCTGACGATTAGGTGCACAAATTTTAACACATGACTTCTGCTTTGTGCGCGACGTATCTACCATCGCCCTTTGGACATCGAAGGACAGGTACTTCGCTCCTTTGGGAAGTGACGGGTGAGTGAGCCAATCTGCAACACCAGGACAGGTACTGTGAGCTTACTGGCAATACGTCGCGCACCAAGCAGAAGTCATGTGTTAAAATTTGTGCACCTAATCGTCAGCCCTCGGTAGCTCATTGGTAGAGCAGCGGACCGGAAATTCGTGGGCCGGGGTTCGATTCCCCGTCGAGGCACATTATTGTGCGTGAATTTTAATCGTGACTTCTACTTTCTACAAACTTGACACTTCTCACAAACATTCAAAATTTACTATAAAAGTGTTTAGTTACATGGGCTGCTAATCACACCAGACTCCGTTTACGAAATGAAATTCAAAGTAATATGACCATTTATATCCCTTATACACCCCAGTGGTGCAAACTCTTTGTTTATCAACTATTAGAGAACATGACCGTAATTGCTGTGGGTTAAACTAGTCCGTTCAAAATGAAAAGTTTCTCAAAGGAAAGCGTATTGATGGGGAGAGCGATAATCTCAAACAGTTCTGAAAACCGCCAACAGGTTTGTTCTGCGAGGCAAATGTGTGTGTGCCTGGGAGAAATTAAGCATTTCCTAGAAAAGCCATTATATCAGCGATAATCGATTGTTGACGATTATCGCATCGATTTCCAACTTTATGCAATGTTCTAATGCTAGCAACTGACTAACAACCATCCTAAAAATCGGACGAACCTATGGGGAACAACTAACTTTGGTGTCTGACCTACTAATTCTAGAATTCGAAGGTAATGAGGCGAACTATAAATATGACCATGCGCTGTCGTCTTCCTACAGCTTCCGTTTGACTGAGGTTAACACGTTATTTTGCGCAAGATTATTCTGACTTTTTCTTTGTTTCGGTCTAAGGTGGCGCGAAATAGATTAAGTGCGCGCTTCGGAATTGAAGCAAGTGAAAGGTTTAACAGTTTAATATTTTCCTTATGAACACAGAGCCTAAATTATCTAGTGGGGATATTGAAATTACTGTGATAGAAATGAATCTGTTGTTGAATCGGAATTCGCGTCTATAAATCCATGAAGCAATTCAACTTCGCCACTTAATCACAGCTATCATGGAAATATTTCCAAGTCATATAATTAGTTGAAACAATCTTTAGTATACTTGAGCTTTCTATGAAGTGAATGCTGGTTTTTTGATAGCATTCCCCCGCAGATATAATCTCTCTCTCTCTCTCTCTCTCTCTCTATATATATATATATATATATATATATATATATATATATATATATATATATATATATAATGCGTATGCGAGACATGCGAACCTATACGCGATGCATTTCACTCGAGTTCACGATGGTGAAAACTTAAAGCACGGATAACTTTGGTAGGTAGCAAATGTTCTTGGGAGTGGCCGACTCATGTTAATAAACTTAACTTACCCACCCGAGGTTGTCGGCGAGTATCGTTCCCAGTAATTGAAATTGACGGCACAATGTAATAATGAGGTGTACAATAGTCCCGTGTAGAGACTACAAGCACGGCACCGAAAGGTGTATAGCTAGTCAGGGAAAGATATCTGAGTACCGTGTAATTGAGCGGTGGGTTGAATCCAACCGTGGCGCCGTGTATATGTACTTGGTATGTGTTGGGTCAGACAAATAAATGCAACAAAAGTTCTGTAAACAGTCTCTAAGTGTGATGCGATACTTTAATTTAGTGTTTTACACAGTATACTCGGGAAAATGGGGAGAACCCCAAACCACCACAAGCTGCTTCATCAATCATATTTTAAGCTTAAAAAACGCTTATCTCAGACGACAACATTGTAGTGCATGTTGGTTACCTTAGTAATTCTTGCTCAACACATTTGCGATGAAACAAGGGGGCATGTTGTGCACAATTGTCTTCAAACGTGGGTAATTTAGCTGCGAACTTACGCATAACATATCACCCACGTGTACAGTCGGTTCTTCTTGCTGCGTCCACAGTAGTTGGCGACTCAAATTAAGACTTCGAATTGCTGTGTTCGACCTCAGCATCGTTGCAAACGCGACGCAACTTGTGACAGTCTGTAGGTGGACGGACAAGAAGTGCAACTAACGAGTAGCCTGAAATAAAATTGTTCCATTCACTAGAGACAACCGCAAACAATATACTAAATGATTTAAGTATATGGTCATGTAGCTAAGATTTCAAATAATTCTAAATGATAAAATACCTGTGCTTTTGTTTTGTGCCGTTAAACCTGAAACCCCACAGATCCTCACAGAAATAAAAGGCGCGGGTACTCTAGTAGATTTACATAGTCAACTATTTTAACGGAATACCAAACTTTGGAAAGGAACTTTTCGACCAAGCTTGTTTGAAGGAAGTGAGTTCACAGGCTGGAAGAATCAATTCGGTTGCATATTTGGACTGCCACTGACTACTTTCTGACTGGCAGCATTTGCCCTCGCTGCTTTATAATTATATTTAAGCAATTACCTTCGACTACGGGAGTACTGGAAAAATGGTTATATTTGTTGTGTTCAAATGAATGAAATACCTTGACTGGATTTGCACGGGTTCTATAGCTCACCTATGCTCATGTGTGGCAGAACCCAAGAGGCAAGGAGGGTTATACTTGGCTACTCGACTAACCGCAAGATGGCCTGAGTGGTTGTAATTTGATGACTCTTAGATGGTAGTTACAGATGAAAGTAAAATAACTGAAACTTTAATGCGAAGCTTGGAATGTGCTTGGGACAAAGAGTAGCAAGTCACTAGCCATGCTATCTGGTTCCTTGGCTGATTATTTCACTGGAATCCATAGGTAAATTGCTTAACTTTAGTCTACTACAAACAAGGTAAATATGTCTATAAACAAGAGTTAATAGAGTTGGTAAACGCCAAGGCCAGCTCATGAAGAATATCTTTGGAAACCGTGATTATCGAGGAAAAACTTGATAGACGTTAAAGGATGCGGGAAATGCCGTTAATTAAAGGTAAATCTGAATTTCCAGAACCGATCAATAGGTCTGTATTAATTGTGGATGTTTGTGAGTAGTATAAAGCTGGTAGAATGTAGAAGTCACGAGTAAAATTCACACACAATTCACACACTGTATTAACTGTTAAGCGTTTAGGGCAAGATACACCGTCTTTTATACGAAAAAATTAAAATGAATTCGCGACGAAAACCTGGGTAAACTGGGAAGCTCAAAATTGTCAAGTGAATAAACTGTTAGCAAGGGAAAACTAAGGCTTTTTAGAGATATACTCAATCGGAAATCGTAAGTAGCTCCGAAGGCAGATGCAACGAATTTGTCAACAGTTGATCTGGTTGATTCAGCTGATGTATTTAGTGTATTTCCGTGTAGGCGGCATTAAGCAGCGTGCTCCCAAGCTTCACAATCTTGAACATACCGAGTACTTTACTAACGAACCGAGGATTCAGTTACGTAACAGATCTATTATGTTCGCGTTGTCATCAACCACTCTACGACTGAATTGTAGCATGTAACAACAGCCTAGACCATGTACTACGCTGAAGTACACATCAGCCAGTTTGCTCGTTCGTAACTCACTTGATGTAGCGTAAAACGCATTACATCCCTATCAGATGCTGCCGAACCAGCGACATAGAATGAAATATTTCTGGAGGCTTTAGAGTCACACACATTAGGTACTCGAAAAACAACTCAGTTTACCGCACAAACCAATGTAGTTAAAGGTACACGTACAACGATAGACAAGTTTATACAAAAGGTGCTAGCGCAAGTGTGTATAAAGAGAGGACCAACCTGACCACATTCACCCAGATCGATAAACTCCAGAGTGTCATTGATTTGTAAGGCTTGGGCTATCCGGAGACCTCCGATCGTCCCTACTGGGTTTCCAATCATCTTTAGTACAAGAAGCTTTTTGTTTGCCTTCAAATATTAAAAGAATAAACGCAAAGTACGCATTATTATTGTGTTGCCGGAAGTGGCAGTCAGCAAACAAGATGAGTATTCTCTATTCACCAATTAAGGATGTATGAGGCCGGGCACATAGTCCGGACTGGACTGACCGCAAGAATGTATCCGCTTCCGTATTACTTATGGGCGAGCCTGCGTAGCATGAGCGCACTTCCTGTTATCCGTAAATGGGAACGAGCGGTCCTCCAGTGAGGATGATCGTCAACGGGTACAAGAACGTAGTGTAACCAAGTACAGATAGGAGAATTGCAATTATGGCAACATGGCTTGTTTCTTGTGCATGGCTGTTACACCTTGATGGCCAACCATCACTTATTAGTTAATCCACGTAATTCCGAGGTACTTCATTAATGATCCAAATAAGTTGAGAGGTGTAAATTTTAATAGCGATAGCAAGACTACCGTAACCGTTAAGATAGAAAGGAAGTCGGTTACATAAGCAGCTGACAAAATAGATTAAAGTGAAGAAAGAAACTAGTACGAGGATTCGAAGGCTATTGTGGCATGCTCTTAACAGACGTAAAGCGTTGGATGAATATAAATAATAACTTAATAGCCTGAAATGTTGGCTTGTAAAGGGAGGTGCATGCTCCCCAAATGGTCAGTACTCCAGGAAATGGTTACTGGCTGATAGACATCAATTGGACGAAGGCGGTCAACTTGATTATTTGCGAGCATGTAGTGGCTGTTGAACTGAGTCAGTGTTTAGATGCCTACTTGAATAATATACTTAGAAATTGTCATGTGAGTAATAATAATAATAATGTGTCAGCTGTACGGCGTAACGGCGCTACGCTGCCGCGCGACTGGTTGTGGTCGCGTGGCAGCGTAGCGCCGTTACGACGTACAGATGGCCATTTCCTTTACTTTACTTTACAGCGTCCATAAATAAGCATAGAGCTTTGAAATATGAATGGAATAGAAAGTAAAGGAGACATGTAATATTGAATAGAAATGCTTGACTAGAAAGACATTTATCGTTAGCTTTAATCTGACTACGACATAGGTAACCAATCAAAGATAAAGAGTGCCAAATTTTCCTCAAACAAATGTGACATAGAGATCGTTAGGTGATTGTATGCTTCAACAAATGAGTCGGTACCTAAGTGGTAATTAATCTAGTCGCATAAAACTTCTGGGAAGAGCACTCCACTACTTCTTTTGGTAACTAGTATAAGACATACAGCCACGTGCGAAACACTATACTGGTGAATACTTTGATATTAACAAATGGCAGAATTACTGATCTCTGCTTGCTGAACCCTGTTTAAATGTTTACTAAGCCAAGTGAAACTTTCCTTGGGTTAGTTAGCTTATTAGGCATCTTTAAGTGGCGGTTTAGAAGCAGCGAAAACAATTGCTTATCGATCAGAATATAACCAAAGGTAGCATCAGTGTGTGTCAGGAATTTCAGTAGACACCGGATTACTACCGCGTCATAACTGGTCGTTCTGATGAGCAAAAGATGGACAGGTTTCCATATATATATATATATATATATATATATATATATATATATATATATATATATATATATATATATATATATATATATATATATATATATATAGTATTCTCGATGTCACTAATGGATGGAAGTAGTCGCGGGGCTGATTGCATCACAGTTAAACTGCTAACTCTGCTTTCTGTCACATGGTCGCGTGCAACAAACTTACCTTGAGGCCATTTGCAATGTACATGGCTCCAGTTTCTGTTATGTCATTTCCCGTCAGGTTCAACTCTCGTAACACCAGGTCGGACTAACAACAAACAATAAAAGCGATTAGGTGATAGGGTATGGGACGAAAAATCGGTACGATTTGATTTGATTAAGAAGGCAAAAGAAGTAATACTGCCAAATAGCATTCGGCTAGTCATCGCTGCTCTTCAAGTCACCTTTATAGACATCGCTGCCGGGCGTGTATTCAGCTCAATCACACCATAGAAAAGATCCTACCATACCTTACAATTAGTACCTTATCCTATCAGGATCAGTCAGTTCACTCCACTCTACGTTAAGTACTACTATCTATCCATATGAGAATCATCGAACATGTTGTGAATTTTGCTGAGCATCCTTGATCTCTTATGTACATGACCGAAACCATAATCATGCCGTAAGTGGATTATATTTATTTTTTTTTATTTTCCTTTGCCTTAGAACTGATACAGTGCTCGGAGGTATGAAGACGGAATCACGCGAAGAAACTAGGGATGACAACATTGTTGGGTCACGACACTTGTTCGCATCAGGTGAGCGCATTCAAAGGTTTGTGTAGTCAAAAAAGAGGTTCGTAACACAACTTAGAATGTGGGTAATTTGACAAGGTGCTTTGTTAGATTGAAGTGATTTAAAAAAGTAAGTGCAAAATCAACAGCATTCAAGGTGCGTATATTCTGTCAACTGTAAGCACTGCTTTAGCGATTTGTACTAAAAAGCCTGCCTTCACATAGCTTTCAGTGCTATGGTCACCAACTAGGGCCAATTCATTGTGGTTGAGAACCGGTAAGTCACAAGAAGTGCGTCAATAAGATAATGACGAATAAGTGCATTCAAACCGTTACACATACTGAATTGATGAGTCCTATGTAAGCGCCTCTTTCGAAAATTTCCCTACGCTATAACAGACTTGTAAGACCAACTACTATGGTTAGATGTGACTTGACATCGGTATACACATGCACTTCATGGGCTGGATTACAATCACCAACCAGCGTTCGGAAGTAAAGGTCCTATAAAAACTTGATAGTAATTTTCATATTAGCAGAGGGAGTTAAGCGTATTCTGCGCAGTCAAGTGACAAGTTCAATCAAAATTGCGATTGGAATTGTTTTTAGCCATCTGCATTCCTCGTTCTTTGGTTCCCAACCAAGCAGAAGTGTGGATCCAAAGGAAGCAAGACATGAAGTCAATGATTTCACATGCCGTCGCCAGGTCAACGATTGACCACCGCGTAGTCCCTCTCATTGAAGTCTTGAACGAGCGAAAAGGGGGCAAGGGGACAAACGCTTAACTGACACGTTGGACGTGACCCAGCTATCTTAACTGGCGCAGCACAATCAGCTTGTTGGGGGGGATACTTGCATTATCTAAGACTCGAATTCTGACTTCACCGTTGTTTCCAACATATACAAGCAATCCTGCTCAGGTACTCATTGTCAAAAGCGGAGAACCGGTGCATGTCATCCACGCGAACTAGCCCTGACTCTCTCCCATATAGCACACCGCCTGGACGATGGCATTGTAAACATGACCCTTTACCAATAAGGAGATATCCCGACGATACCACAAGTGTTTCAAGTTGAAAAACGCCGATCGAACTTCGGCCATGTGGAAGGGAACTTCCTTCGCAATAGTGTCACAAGCAGACACTCATCTGCCCAAACAGAGGAAGGTATCCAAGTCTTCAAGCTATGTGCCTTCAAGAGTGAGCAAGTGAACGGGCGAGTGCCAATCCTAGCACAGCATTATACACTTCGACGGGGCGAAAAAGAGCGATCAACAGTACCCCGGTACGCAGTACCGGCGATTCACTGCCGCCCAACTTCCATCAGGCGCAGCTGGGCTAAGGATACTGCGAGGATCGATCGGCCCACTATGGAGGCTCGAACCAGCGCAGACTACGTAGGAAGCACATTCCGTACTGAGAAGTTTCAATTCTCCCAACAGTTTAGAATAGTTTGTATGCTGTACTTCTCGTCACCAAGTAAGGCCATGTCATCGGTAAAATCTGAGTCGGTCGCTCGTTTACCTGATAGTAGCCATAGACCAACATGTTGATAACTTTCCAGAGCTCACAACAGCACGTCTTCAATCGCAAAATTGTATAGAAAAGGGGATAAAGGGTAACTCCATCGTAGACCGCTATTTACAGCAAAGGACAGCGAAAGCTTACCATACACCACTCTGTGGAAATGTGGAGGTAGAGTATATTAGTGTACTTTTTTGAGACCCCATTCTTTAGCAAGTAATGCCATAACACAGGTCTATCCACCAAGTGGAATGCAACACAGGTGGCTAGAAATGTAACAATGATAGGCCTCTGCCAGAAGTGTCGGCGTTCGAAGATTTGGAGTAGAGTGCATATTTGATCCACACACCTACGGTTAGGACGGAAGCCGGCTTGAACTCCATGGTATTACAATTCACCAATGTGGGATAGGCTACGAAGTAGACTGGATACCAATAACTTGGAGGTAATTGGAAAGCGACTTCTGGGTTTCACCTATTCTCTGAGGTTCTTAATTGGTTTGCATACGTTTCATCACCAAACGAGGTGACTTCCGCAGTGCGCTTTCACAGTACGCTGATTTGATTGTCGATTTGTGAACGACTAGCAGGTCATTTTTGAAGTGGCCTCCTCCATCTGTGCTCTGCGACCCTCACTCGTTTCGTCAATTTCTCCAATGGACATAGGCGATCCGTGAGATGGTTTCGCCCTCGTTGTTGCGGTTGTAATGTTGATGGCTCATTTTGGTTGCCCACAACGAATTTTAAGCCGTCCTAGTTCTCTTCAGCTTAGTGTTTGATAAACTGGAACAATGTTGATGCGCATGTCTCATAGGATTCGCGAACACATCCCGAGGTGGTTTTACAAAGGCGAAGTGAGGTCTAGTAACGGCTCCATCTTCTCGGCCGGTGGCCGAGTGGTGTGCGCGTCTGATTTGCAACCATAAGGTCACCGGTTCGAATCCGCCTTGGGGCGGGCTTCCCCTCGGTATACGCGCGACTGGTGCTGGTCGCGTGGCAGCGAAGCGCCGTTACGGCGTACAGCCAGAGATTTGCTTTACTTACTTTACCATCTTGTCCCACCTTCTAGATTTTGATCACGCAGGGACGGAAAACGATTTCAGAGTCTACTATACTACCTCTGAACATTTCTCGCGCGGATTCCAGAAGCATCGCCTGTCTATTGCGGAAGCTATCTGTATCCGCCACCTCAAGTCCGAATTGGGCGTTCTTTACTTCTACCATGGCCTACAACTTCTGCTGTGATTTCCCCCTGTACATAATTTGCCACCCTCAAAGACCCCGTGCTTTATTGGTTTGTTCCTGTTGGAGTTGAACTTTCTGATCAATACACAGCTCAATCCGGCATATTTTTCACTTTGTCCTCATCACGTAACGTTTGAGTCTGATGAGCATTACCGAAAAGGATTCTGTACTCAGCTTTTGTCTCCCTTGATTCATTTTCGTTCGAATTAGGGTATCAATAGTTTTAACACTGTCGCCGGCTAACGAAACCATAGTAATGCTTCGAGCCGCATATATCAAGAGTAATTGAGAATATTTCAATCCGCAGCACTAAAAACAAAACGAAAGTAGAATATCAGACGTTTTGAGAGTGTCTGGTTTTTAAATTTACTTTAAACGAAGCCCACCAATTGCACGAACGGATGGGCAGGTATGAGCTGAATTAGACCAAGCCCAAGTGCTTCAAGTTAGACTCGCTTAGTCACTCGAAACAGCATGGAACAAACTGCTGGCTGAAATCTGGTACGCAAGTGGAAAGTGTTATGCACAAACTGTCGGATGTATTATATGAGCAAACCCAGATGTAAATGTCTACTTATAATTTAGACTAAAATGTGTGTTGGATAGGCAAGATTGCAACAACTGATCAGCACTGAAGAATGAATAATTAAAATAGAGAGCTAATAGACACAGATCTGTATAGCTCCATCGCAGTTATTTTGGGCACGTGCGCGGAATCACGTCACTGATTCATGCGCGGTTGTAGCAGATTCCAGCTGCGCCATATGCTATTCGGGTGAAATGCGCTACCTCAATCTGAAGTCCGCAAAGTGGGCTCCTGGGAATTTCTTGCATTCAGTCACTATTTTCGCGGGCAAACCGTTCCAGTATTTCACCACTTGACGCCAGAAGCAGAGATGGTGAACTACCCGCTTTAGGTTCAGCACCACTGGCTTGTACCGGTGCCCGCGAGAGTGCTGCTTGGTGCGTGCTCGCGAAGCAGCGCCATCAATATGGGGAAGTGACCGAAATGTAATATTCGGTGGATCATAATAAGGTCAAGTTTAAACCGACGATATCACAGGGTGAACAGTCTTAGTCGTCTGCATCGATTTTCGTACGCCAAACCCCTAAACCGGGGAATGGGGTTGGTATCAACGTGCTGAACATGTTCAAGTTTTTGCATCTTGTCACGGATGATTGGACAATAGGCGGCTCATCTGTACTCAAGCATCAGTCTTATGATGGCAGAGAAAAGGAGCATGATATTATCGTCAGAGCTGACTGGGTTGACCGGAAGATCGACCTTTGCAGACCACATAGACAGGCGGTCGAAGTCCTGCTAAAGTATTTCACAGTCGTCGGGAGCATCACTTATTCTCCAAACGTTCAGGCTGCCTGCAAAACTTAGCACAATGCGACCGAAGAAGCTGAAGAACTGAGTTGATGTGGACCACGAATGAAATTGGCGGAATTGCTGTATCTTCGGTTGCCCTATTTTTGTAGACACAAGTCAATTAGGTGGTCACCAACCAGGATCTCTCATTTCAGTCCAATAAGGAAGCAACTGATCCACTTGCGCAGTGAGTCACCCACAACGCACATTCTCAACAACGACGGCGACAACAAAAACGACGGTACATCTCCTACTTGAACTCATGCTTCGCTGCCACACAACCATGATCAACTATGGAATAAAGAATAATAAGAGGCAGAGAAAGTGGACTTACCTGAAAACCTTAATACCTTAAGCAAATATTTAGGGTCAACGCGCCTAAGTCTTGG